GTAATCCACGGATTTCCCCGAACTCTCTGAGCTGAGGTCGATGTCGGACATCAGCGACAACTCCTGGAGGCCCTCTGGACGGATTTCGCTCGAGGAGTCATGGAGCGAAGCCGCATGGCGGTAGATTTTCTCACTCGTGTCAGGGGTGGCCAACCGGAGATTGACGTTTTCATCGATGTAAGTGAACGAGGTCTCCAGCTCCTCGTCACAACACACCCTGACTTTCTCTGTGGGCTGATGCCGGTGCTGGCCATGGTGTCCTCTGACGGGAACCGTTCTTGGTGCTGAATTACACTGTCCCTCACAGGCAGGCGCCTTCAGAGTGGGAGAAGCTTCTTCCACCAAACTGTTTAGCCTGTGAACATGAAGAGGGCTAGAAGACCAATCCAGTATGCCGGGGGGATCAGGTCTTCCCCCTCTATTATCTATGTAGAGTAACTCCACCGAGGCCATCAGATCCACTCCCACGGATCAATTTGGTTTCTTTCCGCATCAAGCCATCCACACTATACCTATAAACACATAATTTACATTACTTCAGATGAGAAATCAACTCACAGAGCATCTATATTGTAGCTAGTGATTGACTATAGAATCGCTTTTTTTTAACAAATAAGACAAAATATTTGCACATTTAAATGTCTGATAGAATGGATTTTTTGTTTAATTCCTGCTTTTCACACAATGATATCTAATTAGCACACTGCAACAAAAACATATTATTTATGAATATTTTAATAATAACAATTTAAGATCATGGCCGCACAATTGTTGTTTATCTTTGTTGCATGCTATTGCAATTAAATGTCTTATTTGTTCTTGAAAAACTATGTAAATGTTTTAAATACTTTGTGACAAGCATTTCTGTACACATCTCACAGGAATTTGTTCTGACATTTTTCAAATTCTGGACATAATTGTCACATGACAGATTGGCAAAGATCCGATTTGCTCCCAACAAAATTTTGAGCAAATTTACACTTATACACAGTGTTACTGGATTTATGCTCACTACAATGGTCTAGCAACAGTTAATGACTGTATTTGAACGAAATCCTTTGCCTCTTTATTGAAAGACGATTAAAGTTACTGATTAGCCCTACTTCTTCAATATCCAATTAGCAAAGCAATCCGTATAAAACCCAAGATAAGCTATAAGTCCCTTTAAAACGCATGGCTCATGGTCGATGGGGATATAGGCAATACACTTCACAGTAGAGATCGATAGCATAATATATTTTTATGACCGATATCAGTACAGTATCGGGACTTTTACATGCAAGTGGTCAAATAACCAATATCCATATTATTTAAATTTGTTATTATATTTATACAAAGTTGTTTTGAAATCTATGCAAATTAAGTTTAATCTTTAGAATCGATATTAAAGAAACCAATAAACTGGAAAAGTGTGAATATCAGTATATAAACGTGTCAAATCGATTATTGGTCTATATATACTACTCGGGAAAAAAATGACAAAGTCATCCTACAAATCATAACATCTGCAATAGCTAACACGATACACAATAGCTAAACCGGAATATGATATACACATATAAATACAGTAGTTTTGGCACGTGTCCACCAGGCTGCATCGTTACACTCATCAATAGATCATAGAATATACATCACAAGACAGCGGCACAAACAGGACACATGCCGCATCTCACTATATGTAGACGCAAATCACAGACTGTCTGTTTGGTATAAACAAATGTTCTTGGATAATACCTTCTCGTTTGCTGGGCATTTTGGCCTCCCGGCTGCTGCTCTCTGCCGTTCTCCCTCCCACGCTCCGTTTTAAAGATGAACTGAGCTCTCGATGGCCAAATTACTAATTCTACTATGGCAAAGGCTTGCTTATGAATATTCATTAGGTAGTACTGACGTTTCTCAGCAATCTTCCTATGGGGAAGTGTTTGAGAATGAATATTAATAAGATTGCGCTGACGTCCCTTAGTTGATGTCCTATAGCGAATGCCTGCTCATTGAATTTTAATTAGGTGTTGGTGACGTTCCTTGCGAAAGTTCCAATGGCGAAGCAACGGGTTATGAATATTAAGTCTTCGCCATAGTAAGATTTGTAAATTTGTAAATTCAAAAAAAATGTTGTAAAACATCACTCTTGCGTTTTCAAGTAAATCATAAGAGGTTTAAAACTGTATCGGAACCATGGGAAATGAAGTTCTCGGAAGCAAAAAGTTATTATTTTATGGACAAATCACCAGCGTATGACTGGAAACTACAGCCTGGAGATATTTCCTACTACGACCAGTAAGGAGCAGCGACTGTGCTAAACCACTCCCATTCTACACCATCTGCTCTGCCTCTGTGGTCCTTTGAAAGCTTGAAAGATCACTGGTCAGTTTAAGGTCTGTATAGTCTATTTTTAATTTACACAACCGGCCTATACCAGATCATATTCTTCAAAATAACCTTGTTAACACACCTTTACATTATTTATTACTTCTATATCATCCATAACATAATATAGCCTATTTTAAAAAATATAGGCTACTGTTCTGTGGTTATTAAAAGCTGAAACATTAAGAATATCTAATGAACATGCTTTTTTATTTCAAACCTTTTCAAGGTACATTCAGAAAATATCCCTAACTAGCATTTCCGATCTCTCCTTGACAACAAACAATCAATTATTTCCACAGATACGTGCTATTGTGTTGACCGATACATAGGATGACTTCGACTCAAAGCCAGACAAGTTTCCATTTAACGGATGAGTCTGCAGAGAAGTGGGGCTTACTCAGCCAGAGATTAATGTCCCAGACTGGTGGAGGCTCAGCTCAGGGAGTATGAGGTGCACAGTCATGAATTCCCATCTGTCACTGCAGACTTCATGAACATAGGTGGAGTAGCTGTATGCTGCAGTCAGTTTGGACTATTTTCAACAGGACGGAAATCTCAGAAGGGTGCACAGCTTATTTTCTGCTGCGTCCCCCTCTGAGATTTCTATACCGTCAGCTGTCAGCTGAGACAATCCTGCATGCATTGCCAAGGACGAAATTGAGTTTCAGAGCCTTGGGTATCAATCAAGTCACCTTGGAATGTACAGAAGCATGCTGTGGTTTGCCAATCTATCCTCATGTTGTTTGGAGCAGGTGGTTATACAGAGTGATACGTATAGACACTAAATAACATCACATAACAGCAACAAACCTGCAGTCACATACCTTTGCATGTTTTACTTGATCATTTCTAAACTGCAAAACCACATAATAAGATGTTACAGTATACTGAAACAAACAAGTATAACATTTCTTTGTTTTAGGATCTGGAAGACAGACAGATTCTCAGAAACAGGGGTGTTAGACCAGGTGGTGACGCTTGTCTGGCAGTCTGTGCCACTAAGGTTAGTATTTTCACCAGCTGCCTCCCAGAGGTTAACGTGCATTAAATATTATACAATTTAAAACAACTGTTTTCTATTTTAATACATTTTAAAATGTAAATTATTCCCGTCATGGCAAAGCTACAGTTTCAGCAGCAATTACTCCAGTCTTCAGTGTCACATGATCCTTCAGAATCATATTCTGATTTGGTGCTCAAGAAAAAATATTATTAGTGTTGAAATTGGTTGTGCTGTTTAATATTTTTGTGGAAACTAATGCTTTCTTCCCCCAAGAGTTTTTGATAAATAGAAAATTTAAAAAACAGCATTTGAATTTTTTTAATCTTTACTGTGACTTTTGATTAAATGAATGCTAAATAAACAGTTTTTTAAACAAACAAATAAATAAATAATCAATAAATCTTACTGACCCAAACTTCTGAATGTAGGTGTATTAGATATAGGACATACAAAAAGCACTCGAAAATTTGGCAGAGCTAAATTGACTAGTTTGGCGAGGTGTTGAAAATTAAAATAAAAAAAGTTATTCTGGATACTGGATATTGTTGGGGATTTTGTAGCTGATTAGATGCTGAGGATATTTCATTCTTTATTAGAACCTCAATGACAGTGTCTGAGGTTCTCAATACAGACAAGGTAAGCAAACGCGAGTAGGTAGAGAAGGGAGGAGCTGTCCTTGGTGCTGAGCACAGTGACTCAATTACAACTGAGCTCAGGCTGAAATCACTGCTGCCCACAGAGCTAAACATGTCACATGACCTGATCCAAGGACACGTTATGTGATCCAGAAGTTGTGAATTTTAGGCTATGTTCAGAATGGAATACTAGCTTAGTACTTACTGAATACTGTGCAGCAGTATATACTTCATACTGATTAAAATAGTAAATGAAACAGTAGGCATTACTTCATGGCAAACATTATATACAGAAGTAAGCTACATTGTCAAATTGAAATAAAGCTAAAATAGAATATTAAATTAGAAGTAAAAAATCAACTTACAAAAAACTTAAATGAAATGTTGCATTGGCAACTAACTGAAATAATGTAAGTTGAAGTACTAAAATGACTAAAACTATAACTGAAGTATATATATTATTAAATATAATAAATATTAAAAACTAATCAAAATGACAAAAGCACATTGCAAAATTACTAAAAATTTAACTAAAATTAAAAGATAAAAGCTAATTCAAAATATTATTTATTAATAAATAATATAATAGTTTATAAATACTAAAATAACACTAATGACCTCATGAACTCACATCGTAGTTTAATTCAGCAAGTGTTTTACAAATATCATCTTAATATTTAGCATTTTAATGCAATTTTGCATTAAAATGTTATAAGGTTTTGCAGTCAGATGAATCATTTATTTTTAATGATTAAAAATAAAAGAGAAACAGAATCAAAACTGATATTTCAGTTCATCAGTCATGCTGGAAATTGGGCTGCATATAAAAAAATATGTATAGTGAGCACAGTATTATATACTGCAGCAATAAAGAATAGTACGGTAGTATGCTATTCTGAATAAAGTCTCGGATAAAGAGGTATATGTCTGAAAGAAAGCTCTTAAAAGAAAGAAAAAAAGTGGAA